AATCAAAGAAACCTAATAAGGAAGGGGAGGGCCCCGACCTCTATTTCAGTCAGAGCTACTTCTCTTTTTCCTGTTTTCCTGCTGAGCCTCTGAGTAAGCAGTTCCATCTCCTAAGGACTTTCACAGATAAAACATGAAAATTTAAGAAAGAATAGGCCATTTCTTCAAACTCTTTGGAGAAAGAAGTTATTAAAATGGGAAAAACAATAGTGCAACCTTGATGGGTTGCACATTGGCTTCTTGTCAATTTCTTTTTTTTTAAAACTTTTATTTAATGAATATAAATTTCCAAAGTACGACTTATGGATTAAATGGCTTCCCCCCCATAACTTCCCTCCCACCCGCAACCCTCCCCTTTCCCGCTCCCTCCCCCTTCCATTCACATCAAGATTCATTTTCAATTCTCTTTATATACAGAAGATCACTTTAGCATATATTAAGTAAATATTTCAACAGTTTGCACCCCATAGAAACACAAAGTGAAAAATACTGTTTGAGTACTAGTTATAACATTAAATCACATTGTACAGCACAATAAGGACAGAGATCCTACATGAGGAGTAAGTGCACAGTGGCTCCTGTTGTTGACTTAACAAATTGACACTCTTTTTTATGGCATCAGTAATCACCCTAGGCTCTTGTCATGAGTTGCCAAGGCTATGGAAGCCCCTTGAGTTCTCCGACTCTTATCTTGTTTAGACAAGGTCATAGTCAAAATGGAGGTTCTCTCCTCCCTTCAGAGAAAGGTACCTCCTTTTATGACCTATTCTTTCCACTGGGATCTCACTCGCAGAGATCTTTCATTTAGGTCATTTTTTTTTTTTTGCCAGAGTGTCTTGGCTTTCCATGCCTGAAATACTCTCAAGGGCTTTTCAGCTGGATCCGCATGCCTTAAGGGCTGATTCTGGGGCCAGAGTGCTGTTTAGGACATCTGCCATTCTATGAGTCTGCTGTGTATCCCACTTCCCATGTTGGATCGTTCTCTCCCTTTTTTATTCTATTGGCTAGTATTTGCAGACACTAGTCTTGCTTATGTGATCCCTTTGACTCTTAGTCCTATCATTCTGATCAATTGTGAACAGAAATTGATCACTTGGACTAGAAACGGTGACTTGATCAGCCCTTTCCCTGACTGTTGATGAACAACTTAATATGTTATCCCTCTTAGTATTTTTTTGTTTGTTCTACTTAATACTTTTGGTTGAATACTGTAATCAATACACAGTTATTCTTAAGTGCTGAAACTTAACTGAAAAGTGATCGCTGTTAAATATAAGATTGGGAATAAGAGAGGGAAGAGATGTGCAATTTGGGACAAGCTCAAGCTGACTTACCTCAAACAGTAGAGTTAGAAACATACCAGGGGATTCCAATTCAATTCCATCAAGGTGGCATGTACCAATGCCATCTCACTAGACCAAGTGATCAATTTCTGTTCACAATTGATCAGAATGATAGGCTTCTTGTCAATTTCTATGAGCAAGTGAGCCAAAGAATCTGGGACAGGTGACATTCCCAGGACCAAAATGTTTGTTAGCATCAATTATTGCACTTATATTAAACTTTAATTCATTTTCATGATTATGTATCAGTTTTGCCTGTTTCTAAGTTTCACCACTAAAGAAATAAACAAGGAGGTACACAGAAAATGATCACTTAAACACAGAATGTACCATCCTATAGTCCATATGTAGAAAACCAATGTGGATTATTCTTTTACAAAGCCTGTGTGACACTGAATTCTGGTCTCATGATGGTATCGAGTATAATTACATACATCATTAGCAGACACACTGACTTCTAAGTCCAGCAGTTACAGAGCCCCGAAAGGCCTTTCAGATACGGGTGATTCTACAGCATTTATTTAGAATTTTAGAAACGGGAACACAGACACCAAAGTCATTTGCATGAACCCTCTTACATAAGCAGCACTGAATGTGGAGGCCAGACAGGAAGAAAACAAGTACAGTTTGTTCCTATCTCTCTTTCTCTCCTTAGAAGCTGAGAATTCACTGTTTTCATTTAAGAAGGGAAATTCATCTGCTTCGTGATGACACAAATGAGGGAGACTTAGAGTCCACACTGAGAAATGATGACCTCACTGTCTCATGCTGTCAGATTCAATGAGGCGTGGAGGCGGGGGCAGTTTCTATTTGTGTCCTTTCTATCTGTAATTAGTATATTGGTGCTGCAGAAGAATGATTAGCAGTACGGGCATGTATGAGTTTTTTGGAGATAAACATGAACAGCCATTTCCTTCTGAGTTTTTAAACTTAGGTTTCATAGAAGTATCGTGAGTTTTGTTGCTCACTTATCCTCAAACCTTTCCTGACTTGTGAATACTCTACCGGTATTTTTACAGTGCGTGAACAGCTTACCAAGATGTTTAAGGCATGGAACCAAAGGCTTCAGCGCCATATGTTTGAATTACATAAGGCCAGTTAGCTCCCCTGCTGTTAACACCTTAGTATGGTTTGGATGAGATCTGTCTCCCAAAGGCTCATGTCTTGGAAGACTGGACACCAACGTGGTGGTGTTGAGGTGGCAGTATTTTTAAGGAATGTCACAGGGGCATCACCCTCATGAGTGCTTTAATGTTGGTCTCTCTTAGTGGGTTGGGTCTTTCAGGAGCAGATTTATTCCCATGAGGACGGGTTTTTATAAAGAGTGAGGCTGGCCCTTCCTGGTCTCTTGCTTCTTGCTTTGCCATGTTTCCCTTTCTGAACAATAGTTCCTTTTTTGCTTTTTCACCATGACACAACACAGCCAAGGGCACCCTGCCTAGATGCTGATGCCATGCTGCGTGGACTTTCTAGCCCCTAGAATAGTGAGCTAAATAAACCTCTTTTCCTTATTAAAGTACCCCACCTCAGATATTTTGTTACAGCAATATAAGAGAACAAGGGCATACCCTTAATTCTGTCATTTCAAAAGTTGGAACCATCTTTCAGGAGAACCACTAAGGAGACAGGGAAGGATACAGGCAAATGCTTTATGGAATCAACAAAAATGATAACCTTACATAGATAACATTACGTGGATAATCTACATAGATAACATTTTTCTTAGAACAGATGGTCTTTACCTATGATGATTCAACTTATAATTTTTTGACTTCACAATGTTAGGAAAGCAATGTATATTCATAGAAACCTTATGTAAAACTTTGAATTTTAAACTTCTTCCTGGGCTAGTGATTTGCAGTAGGATACTCTCCCAGGATGCTGAACAGCGGCTGTAAGCTGCACCTCCCAGTCAGCCCCACGATCATGGGGGTGAATGACCAGTAATTCACTGGGTACTGGGCTGCTAAACTCTACTGTTTGGAAGATTAGTCTATTAGATGCACTTTCAGCATATGATGTGTTTATTGGGAGGTAACCCCAATGTAAGTTGAAGAACATCTGTGTTATTATATAAACTTTTTCTAATCAATAGGGTAGCCACAGGTGGCTGCTGAGCACTTGAAATATGGCTGATTCAATCTGAAATGTATTATAAGTGAAAAATGTACCCCAGTTACATAAAATTCATATGAAAAATAATATAAAGTTCCCCATTAAAATTTTTATATTGATTACATGTTGAAATAATATTTTGCATATACTCGGTTACATAAAATAGATTATTAAAGTTAACTGCACAAAAAAAGTTAACTGCACATTTCTTTTTGCTTTTTTAAAATGTAACTCCTAGGAAATTTTAAATGG